CCCATCTTGTGCAGATGACAATGGACAGTCACATTTCCATTTTTGTGATTACGTATGCTTGTATTGAAGAAAATAAATTTTGTGGTGTTGTCTTTCCTTTATTGTTGCTAGACACGGTCTTGTACTGCCTTGCTATACAACTGATATTTGGATTGTCCTATTGTAATTTTACATGTATTTTTTATTATTCTCATGTCAATATTGTCTTGGTTTGCAGGGCGCAGTAAAAGCAACTCTATGTCTGTTTCTCAAGGTTTTCAGCCAGAGAAGATACCTGTGTCTTCCCAGCAGGCACAGGTTCTTTTTGACAAAGCTCATGATCCTCCAACCTTTTCGCTAACTGATCAAAGCAAGGCAGATCTCTCAAGAGACAGAATGCTTCATTGTTTAGAAGTTCCTGAAAGAAATCGTGAAATCTCCAATAATAGCCATCCAGAGTCAATCATGGCTTCGAATGTACCTAGTTTGAATCCATTCGCTTCGTCTGATACGGTGAAGCCATGGTCTCATTCAGTTTCTTCTTGGGAAAAGCCTTCCAGTAGCTTAAGCCAGAAGTCAATATCAGTTCAGACTCACCCATATTTGAATTCATCTGGTCCTTTTAGTAAGAGTTCTGTGATATCACCCCAGAGCAATGGGATTTTTGGTGAGAAGTGGCAGGTGAGTAGCAATTCTAGACTTAACCCAGGTTTTGGAAGTGAATTGCCTGATCGAAATGGTTTTTATTATGGATCCTCATCTGCGTCCAAGGAAACTGGAATTCGCTTCCCTTCAATCAGTTATGATTATCTGAACTGTAGTAATGATAGTAAGGGGGTCTCTGAGCAATTCCCTACTCATGGTTCAACTAAGCCATACAACTGCTCAAATAGTGTTGATATGAAGTCTACAAATGACGTGAATTTGAATGTGGTGCTTTCAAACAGTTCATCTAATGAGCCAGTCTCGCAACGATGTCCTCAAATGGATGGAGGAAGAAAGCATGAGGACCGTCTTCCAGGGTTGCCATGGCTACGAGCCAAGCCTGCTTGTAAGAATGAGGCCACAAGTGCAGGAAGGGATTTGAATGTTGGAGAGTTGAGCTTCTCTCAGTCTTCTCCAAAGCATTCTACCAATAAAAATGAGACTGGAAATTGTTTCAGTCAAATTTTTACACAGAATATGAAGTCAGTTTCATTCTCGAATAATGTCGAGGCCAGCAGAAGTGAAATAAGTGAATGCCTGCATAATAAAAAGATTCTAGGGATTCCCATTTTTGATAAGCCTTATGTTTCTAAGAATGAGTCATCTTACACCTCCCCCTATGTGTCTGTTCCTCAACCATCTGAAGGTGAAGCAGAAAATAAGGGGAGAAATAGGTTACTTGATATTAACTTACCTTGTGATGTGAATGTTCCTGATGTGAGCCAAGACGTTGTTGCAGAGGATTCAGCCATAGAGAATGACGCTGATAAAAAATTATCTAGTTTCAGACATCAAATTGACTTGAACTCCTGTGTTGCTGAGGATGAAGCTTCTTTTATACCCTCTGTTCCAAGTACCAGTGTGAAGATGACTGGAGGGATAGATTTGGAAGCACCACTAGTTCCTGAGCCTGAAGATGTCATTCATGGAGAAGAATTACTGGAAATGGCACGCGGATTACCTTTGCAATCAGCACAAAGCAAAGATGACTTCCTGCAGGATGAACTTATCAAGAGTGCAGCTGAGGCCATAGTTGCCATCTCATCATCTGGTGAGTACAGTCATTTTGGTGATGTCAATCGCTATTCATCTGAAACTTCTATGGCAGACCCCCTTAATTGGTTTGTCGAGACGATTTCCTCTTTTGGCGAGGATCTTGAGAGCAAGTTTGAGGCTCTTTTGAGAGGTAAAGATGGGGATCGAGATGAATCTTCCTCAGAAGAGATTGATTTCTTTGAATCAATGATTCTGAATTTAGCAGAAACCAAGGAAGAGGATTATATGCCCAAGCCTCTAGTTCCTGAAAACTTTAAAGTGGAAGAAACAGGAACTACCTCTTTGTTAACTCCTCGAACGCGAAAGGGCCAGGGAAGGCGGGGAAGGCAGCGGAGGGACTTCCAAAGGGACATCCTTCCAGGCCTTGCTTCCCTATCAAGGCATGAGGTAACAGAAGATCTTCAGACATTTGGAGGGCTTATGAGAGCAACAGGTCATTCATGGCATTCAGGATTGACAAGAAGAAACTCTACTAGAAATGGGTGTGGCAGGGGGAGGCGACGGTCAGTAACTAGCCCCTCTCCTGCTTTGGCAGCTGCCACAACTTGCGCGCCATTGATGCAGCAGCTAAATAATATTGAAGTGGGGCTGGAGGATAGAAGCCTTACTGGATGGGGAAAGACAACTAGACGGCCTCGCAGGCAAAGATGTCCCGCAGGTAATCCTCCATCTCTTGCATTAACCTAATTACGAGAACAGGCCTTAATGTATTAATTGAGGATACTATAGAGGGAACTAGGACATTGTTGCTTCATCGGCTTTGAGAAGTGAGGTTATCATGATCCTTGGGGATTGCCTTTGTACATTTCTTAGCCTGAAATTTGGCTACACTTGGTTGTCTGTCTTTGGGTGGTTACGAACAACTTGTATTATCCATAAATAATGTTGCATGATTTCTTCCAAGATATATGACAGCATTCCTTCGGTTTGTGAAAACCGTGAGAGCTCTTCTTGTGTTTAACCGTGAGAGCTCTTCTTGTGTTTTAGTGCAGATTCTAAGCAACGCCCGTGCTTGCAGCTGCTTAGTCTGGTTAATATTTTGCTAATAGAAACATTTAAGTTACAGGCTTCTTTTCACCATGATAATGTAACTCACGTTAAGGGCAATGCAACCCTTGCTGACCCTCCAGTTTTAATCACATAACAGCCGGCGCGATCACAACGGTCCATCCTCCATTGAAGACTGAATTATCATATAAAACATGATGTAGAAATGTTTCGATTGCTGGTACAGTCTGAATGTTGACAATGAGAATGTTCCCAGGAATGAAAAGGGTAAAATATCCCATCAATTTTGGGATTTGGGTGGTTTCTGATTTGAGAAAATTTTGGTATGTTGTGTGTGGAAGTTATACCAAAGAAGAGGAGGAAAGTCTTTGAGTAAGAACAAGTGGGGTGGAATCCTGGATTCACTGGATTTAAATGATTTGAAAGTGAATGAGTACGTGTGAGTTTACACAAAGGATAGAACGTGTGCTTTGTCTGTTGCAATGTTTGCTTCTGAATTCCAATGAAGCTGGCTTTAATTCATTGCCTGTCCTCTTGTAGATCCTATGGGATGACTTTCGGCTGAAACCAGTCCGACACCACCACTCACCATCAACAGTCCTTGATTTTCTCTATTTCAATAATAATCCGAAGAAAAAAACAAAAACCCATTTCCCCTATTCCATCGCTTGTTATAATTATAATCATTATAGCGTAAAATTATTTAAAATATCATAACATTCTCATACTTCATAAAATATTATCTTATTTATCTTAAATTTTGAATCCAAAAACTTCAAAATAAAGTCGTGAACATATTTTCTTAAAAACGAATAATAATTCATATATCTTAAAATTCGTATTTAAAAATTTAAAACTCTTTATCAACTTATTTTTATAAAGAATTTTTTATTGAAAAAAGAGGCAGAGAGTGGGGCACACGGGAGGAAAGGGCGCGTGGGGGAGAGAATGGGTGGGGGGAATGAGAAGATCTAACTTTTTGTAGGGGCAGCAGAAAAGCGCAAAGCAGAAGCGTCCGTGTCGGTGTCTGAGTTGATTCGGCTGTACAAATCTCTGTTGTCATAGTCAAATTCTCCAAAATGCCTTCGCCTTGCCTTTAGATACTCTCTCCGCCAATCACCTTTCACCTATCAATTCCAATCTCCTATTTTATTTATTATTTATTATCATATATCTCACCCCAAGCCTGTCCTATCCTTTTGAGTGCTACCCTTCCTTATCTGTCCTTTTTTTTTATATTATTCTTATTTCTGGGTCTTCTTTGCTTTCTATTTGCAATGTGGCCCCCATGTTTTCTTTATTTCTTCTTTTTTGGCCCTTTTTTTCTTAATAAAAAATTAGTTAAATATTATGTTTTATTCCACTTGTTTATTACCCTTTTCTGATACCCCCTCCCCCCCCCTTAAGATTTGAACTTTCTTTATTGGTGTGATAACGACCAATAATGATTTTCTAAAGCATAATCTGACTTTAAGCTTGGGGGATCCACATACCAATTTAATAATCTAATGTTTCGAAACATTAAATTATTAAATATTTCTTTTGTCTTATCAAATTAGGTTTGTATTTAATGAATTTTTATGGATAAATAGTTATATTTAAATATTATCGTTTTGTTAATAAATAAATTTAAAAATTGAAAATCTTTTAAAATTAAATCCTCATAATTTTAATTTTTTTAAAATTTTTATCTTTGCATATTTATGATGGGACAAGTATAAATTGTATCTGTGTAAGATTTATTTATCATATAATAGGGTCAATAAGATAAAATAAGTAATAAAATTTTAAAAAAGAAATTTAAATTAGAAAATCATTTTGATATTTTTTAAATATTTAAAAAATAAAATTACTTGGGTTTTCAAATTCAATAATTACTCTTTATCTCATTGAACATTTATAATAAAAATAAAGAATAAAAATATTTCTGAAAAGAACGTTTTTATTTATTATGAAAATAATACAAATTGAATAATGTCCCTTTCTTGCACTCAAGAAGGGGGGCAAAAAGGGAATACAAATAAATTGTCTTGTGTGTCCGACCAAACACACCGCACTGACAAAATGGTTTCAGAGATCGTCCTTTTCGGGGAAACAAATCATGTATTAAGGATGCTAAACGTCTCTTAAGCCTACTAGAAACCTAGTAACCCTGATTATTGTAAATAAACTGCCGAACCATAGCTGAGACAATCAAGCCATGTCACAAAAATAGCGGCAGGGCTTGACTAGGAAGCTTAAACTCATATAAAATGATGAAAAGGCTTCTCACTTTCTTTCATAGGAAAGGCTTTGTTTCTCTTACCACGAGGAAACCTTACTTTCAATGGAGATGTCTTTCTTACACTACCGACCATCCTTTGGAATACCCTTCGATGGAGCGTACTTTAGCTTCAATGCACTCGATTGCTTTCAACCCGTGTTTTGCTCTTCTGGGTCTTTGCAGAAACATCGATTCTCTCAAGAAAGTCCACGCCTTGTTCATTATAAATGGCCTTAAAGGTGATCTTTTATGTGACACCAAGTTGGTTAGCCTGTACGGATTGTTTGGGCACGTTGGTTATGCCCGGTTAGTGTTTGATCAAATTCCTGACCCAGATTTTTATTCCTGGAAAGTGATGATCAGATGGTACTTTTTGAATGATTTGTGTATGGGGATTATTGGGTTTTATGCTCGCATGAGAATGAGTGTTAGTATGTGCGATAATGTCGTCTTTTCGGTTGTGTTGAAGGCGTGTAGCGAAATGCGGGATATTGATGAAGGGAGGAAAGTGCATTGCCAGATTGTTAAGGTAGGGAATCCTGATAGTTTTGTTCGAACTGGTCTGGTTGATATGTACGCTAAATGTGGAGAAATTGAATGTTCTCGTAAGGTTTTTAGTGAAATTATTGATAGAAATGTGGTTTCGTGGACTTCGATGATTGCAGGGTATGTACAAAATGATTGTGCTAAAGACGCGTTGGTTTTGTTTAATAGGATGAGAGAAGCAATGGTTGAGGGTAATGAATTCACGTTAGGGAGCTTGGTGAGTGCTTGCGGAAAGTTAGGGGCTTTACATCAGGGGAATGGTGCATGGATATGTTATTAAGAGTGGTATTGAACTTAATTCCTACTCGGTGACTGCTCTTTTAGATATGTATGTTAAGTGTGGCAGCATAAGAGATGCCCGTTCGTATTTGATGAGCTTTCTACTGTTGATCTTGTCTCATGGACAGCAATGATTGTTGGATATTCTCAGAGTGGATTTCCTGATGAGGCTTTGAAGTTGTTTATTGATAAGAAATGGTTTGGGATATTGCCCAATGCCGTTACCATTGCAAGTTTGCTTTCAGCATGTGCACAGTTGAGCAATTTGAGTTTTGGAAGGTTAGTTCATGCTTTGGGGATTCAGCTTGGACTTAAGGATTCGACAGTCATAAATGCTCTAATGGACATGTATGCCAAGTGCGGAATGATTAGAGATGCTAGGTACATATTTGAGACAGTCTCAGACAAGAATTTAATTGCCTGGAATTCAATCATTTCTGGTTATTCGCAAAATGGGTCTGCATATGAAGCCCTTGAACTGTTTCATCAAATGAGGTCAAAATCTGTATCACCTGATGCAGTCACAGTGGTTAGCATCTTCTCAGCCTGTGATCACTTGGTGCTCTCCAAGTTGGTTCTCTCTTCATGCTTACTCATAAAAGGTAGCCTATTCATCACTAGTTTAATATGTTGGCACTGCACTTTTGAATCTCTATGCCAAATGTGGGGATTCTAAATCTGCGCGTGCCATATTTGACAGTATGGGAGAGAAAAACACTGTCACATGGAGTGCAATGATTGGTGGTTATGGAATTCAAGGGGACAGTAGTGGGTCCCTTGCACTTTTTAATGATATGGTTAAGGAAAACGTGGAACCAAATGAAGTAATCTTCACAACCATTTTATCTGCCTGTAGCCATACAGGGAGTCTTGGGGAAGGATGGAAATATTTTAATTCGATGTGCCAGGACTATAACTTTGTCCCTTCTATGAAGCATTATGCATGCATGGTTGATATGTTGGCCCGTTCTGGAAGGCTTGAAGAAGCCTTGGACTTTATTGACAAATTGCCTATTCAACCAGACCTTAGCTTGTTTGGAGCTTTTCTTCATGGATGTGGACTCCATTCAAGGTTTGATCTTGGAGAGGTGGCTATCAAGAAAATGCTAGATTTACTTCCTGATAGAGCTTGTTATTATGTGCTTATTTCTAACTTGTATGCCTCGGATGGAAGATGGACTCAGGTTAATCAGGTGAGAGAGTTGATGAAGCATAGAAGATTGAGCAAGGACCCTGGTTGTAGCATCACGGAGATGGATACTTATAAAGACCTTTCATATTCTAGAGTAGCATATCTTGCTTAGTCTTTTACATGCATGTTGGAGTCCATTGGATCTTACTGAAAAAATGGAGGCAATCAGGAACTGCATTGAATTTATGGAGATGAATGTAAGGTTCTCTTAAGGACAGGTTGAATTCTGGATGTTGGTTTGCATTAGAAACTTGCCCAGAACTTGTTGCTTCAAGTTGAAAATGTCCTGAGTACGGATTTCGATTAGCTTGGATCTTCATGGATACATTTGTCTTAGATTTAGGCACTGAAACTCATGGCCCAAAATTAAAGAACTGATAGAGAAGATGATTGTTGGAAGATTCATTGTGGATAATTTTCTGGCATTTACTCCTCTAAACATGACCATGAAGAGCTTGCTGTTTCAGCAGTTGTCAAGCTTGTAAAATTGTTTTGTATTGCTGCACCCATGGATCTCTGTAGACATCTTAACAAGAGGGAACTTGAGATGTTATGCAACATCAATAGTCTATCACTGAGATGGTGGTGCAGTGTGCAAGAGGGTCCTTGTGACCGTGTGTTTAATAGGTGGGACTCCTATAATGCAACGAATGTTGATTCCAGTGATGCACAAATCTGGAATTATGTTCAGTTCTCACAGGGTTAGATCCATTCTTCAGGTGACTTTTCCATCCCATAGTTCTTTCTTTGTGTAATTTTTTGAGTAGTGACCCAGGGTTGGCATCATATCTGCCCTAGCCCCTTTCACTTGCTAAGATGATGATATAATCTTATTTAGAATGCACAGAAGGATACAGAAGGGATCATCTTTACATCACATGTAGCACCTATCCTGGTTGCATGGTATAACTGAACAATCGATAGGAATCATGCTGTACCCATTGCCAATTATGTATAACACAGAGCTCGATCTACGGAGGTAGGGTGAGATGATCTACTCAAGTAGGTTCTTCCAAATGTAGTAAATCTTTTGATTCTTTTGGTTGGAAAATGCAGAACATCTGAACAGCTTAGGTCTACTTAATAAGCTCGCTTCATAGCTATGTTAACTGTAAAGGAAGTGCTGATACATGTCAAAACATCTGGTATTAGTTTACTGATTCTCTGTACTAAGTTCAAATTATCTGTAGCAGGGTAACAACTTAGGTGCACAGCAATTGCTCTGTGCTTGATTCTTTGTGTTAATTTTTATTAAAGAATGCAAAGATCTATGAGATGACTTGTGTAGTTATCAACTGTTATTTGATTATTCCAAGTACAATTGCTAACTTCTTGTTGTGAGTAAATACCCTTGGAAATCATGACACTGTCAAGCTTCAGATTACTGTTTTCTAAATTGCAAACATATTCTTGAGCCAAATTTTGGAAATTTTCCAAAAAACTGAGACTTTCCTCAGTCTGCAGAAGTGAAGTATCTCCAACACTAAATCTGTAAACTCTCTTATCAAGCTCAATTGTGCTATAGCCAGGAACCTTCCTAAGACCTATGCCTTTCATAGCTGATCTCACTTTCCCAAATTCCTTCCAGTTTCCTTCCTCACCATATATGTTTGATAACAAGGTGTAGTATCCAGTATCATCTGTATTAATATCTAAAAGGTCTTTTTCAATGGTTTTGATCATGTCCATCCTGTGGTGGATCCGACAACCATTAAGCAGGGCACTCCAAATGCTTGCATCTGCAGGAAATGACATCGAATTGATGATTCTATACGCTTCATTGAGATCACCACCACGACTTAGAAGGTCAACCATACACGCATAGTGTTCTGAGTTAGGCTCAACACCGAAATCCCTCATCGAGTTAAAATAAGATTTTCCATCTTCCATGGATCCTGCATGACTACAAGCTGAAAGAATGTTCATGAAGGTAACATGATTAGGTCTTACACTTGATTCTACCATTTGATTGAAGAGCGAGATGGCAGCATTTACCCTACCATGTGCTCCATATCCAGCAATCATGACACTCCATGACACCACACTTTTATTTGACATGTTATCAAAAACTCTTTGGGCTGTTCGAAGGTCTCCACACTTAGCATACATGTCAGTTAAAGCTGTATCAATATAGAGATTTGTCCTCACACCGTATGTAAGGAGTTTGTGGTGAAGCCATTTTCCCTTCTCAAGATAACCCAAATTGGAGCATGCTTGAAGTACACTTAAGAAGGTGACATCATTCATCTCAAGACCGTTCAAGTACATTTGATCAAAGAGGCTAATTGCCTCTACTGAATTACCATTTTGAGAAAATCCACAAATCATTGAGTTCCATGCTATGACACTTTTCTCTTTGATCTTATCAAATATCATATATGCTAATTCAGTTAAACCGCATTTTGAGTACATATCAATTAGTGAATTCTGGACAAACTTATCTGAGAGGCCTCTCGTAATAATATGACCATGTATCTGATCTCCAAATTGCAATAAACTTCCATCTGCACAAGCTGAGAGAGAACTGGCAAGGCTAAACGAGTCAGGCATCAATCCCCTGGTCTGCATCTGCACAAACAGTACTAATGCCTCTGTTAACAACCCTTTCTGACTATAAATAGATATAAGCATATTCCATGGCACAATATTTCTTCCCGCAACACCGTGAAGAACCTTCTCACTATAGTTCAACTTTCCACATTCTGCATATAGTTCAATGAGAGCTGGCCCTAAAACACTATACTCAGGATCCATTTCTTTCCTGATAATGTAACAATGAACCAACTTCCCTTCTCTAAGCCAACCTAACCCAGCATAACAACCTAAAACAGTCATCATGGTTACTGCATTGGGTTCCACACGAGCGTCTAACATATCAACAAAAACTTCTATCCCGTCTATAAACCTACCACTTCTATTATAGCTAGAAATCATTGCTGTCCACAATGTAGTACTCCTGTTAGTTACATTTAGAAAGATCCTCTGTGCACTACCCAGGTCACCACATTTGCTATACATTGTAACAAGAGAGTTAGCCAATGAACCGTCACTTTCAATCTTCCTGTTTACTATATAACCATGCACCAACCTTGCTAATTTCAAAAGTCCCAACTCACCACAAGCCTCAGCTACACTAAGCATTGTTACCCAGTCCGGTTTAATACCTTCCAAGACCATTAAACGAAACATCTCCAATCCTTCACTTGCCTCCCCATTCTCGACATAGCTCAAAATAATCGAACTCCACGAAACCAAGTCTCTAATTGGCATTTCATCAAACATTTTCTTAGCACAACTTAAGCACCCCATATCACCATACATGCAAAGAAGTGAAGTCTGAATTACAGAATCTTCATCAAGCCCATATTTTATTACGGTCCCATGGACCATTCCACCAGTGCCCAGGTCACCAAAACCAGAACATGCCCTCAAAACAGAAGGAAATATAAAACTACTGATCTGGGCTTGGTTGTTTTTCATCATAGTTTCGTAGAGAAAAATGGCTTCTTGAAATAAGTTGTTCCAAACAGAGCATTTTATCAGAACACCCCACATGAAAGAATCTGGGTTTGGGAAGTTTTTGAAAACAAGTTTTGAAGATCGAAAGGAACCCATTTGGGCATAAGATTCAATGAGCTTGGTGGAAGGGAGTGGGTCACGGTGAAGCCCGGCGACTAAAAGGTAGGCATGGAGTTGAGTTAATGATCTAAGGTTGGTGCATGATCTGAATAAGGGCATGTAAAGGGTGGTCATTGCAGAAAGTAACTGACCGTACCCTTAGCTCAGCAAGGGAAGCAGAGCGAGAGAGACTGGAAGAGAATGAGAAACTGGCGCCAAGACTATATATTAGAGTGGGTAAGTGGGTTTTGATCTTAGCCCATTTAGATCCAAGGTAATCAAATATCCAAAAGGAATTGAGTTCATGACTATTACGTGAATATATTATTATATTATATATATTATTTTATTATTTATTATGATATATTAATATTATATAATATAAAATAAAAAAATAATATTTTAATTAATAACAATCAATCATTATTTTATATTACATGATGTTATTAATTAAAATAATTTCCCCTCCGTTGTCTCTTTAACAATTTGCAAATCTCAATATATTTTGCTCTTAATTTAATTTTTAAAAATAAAAAAAGATAAATTTGATTATATTTTCAAATAATATCACTTTAAAGAAATACTATAATGTTACTCTAGCTCAAATTTTTTAACTTCTAACTTGTGTTGAATGGATGTTAGCTCAAATTAAAATACTGTCAATATCAGGGAAACTTTGGATAAATTTATATAAACTGTAAAGAGTGAAAAACCAATGAAAATGCCTGAAAATCTCTGATTTCAGCAAGAGGTTTACTTGATGATTATCTACATACTGATTAGAAGGCATCAGTTTTCCTTTTAGAGGAACCAAAAAGAAGGAAAGGAAGGATACATTGGTTTGGCTATACATGAAAGAGTGTCATATACATGCTTCAAGGCAGTTCTGGCAAGGAATGCCAGGTTACAAACTACTAAGGAAAATCAGGCCTTATTTCTTCCTGTGATGCCTCCACCGTCATCGCCCTCTGGATCAAGGGGAATTTCATGTCGGGGCCTGTTGTACTTCTCACGAAGCTGTTTGATGGGAATGAAATCTCCAGCTGCATCCATTCCGTAGAACAGAAAAGATATATAGGGATGATCGAACCTTCTCTGCACATTGGATATTGGAAGCCAGAGTGAATCAAAGAGGATATTATCGAGTACCATGTTTCATAATGACAATTCCACTCACCAAGTCCGATTGTTCAGGGGCTAAAAGATTCTCCTCAGGAACTGCAGCATAGGAAAACATTTATTGAGTTCACCAGTGCATTAGCAAGATAACTCGTATAAAATTACTACAAATCCTAACATATCCAGCATAGAATTTACTTTTGGAGGTAAGAACTATGGGAAAAGAGAACTGCAGTTCAGGATCCTGATATGATGGAAGTAAAAGGAAATGACAATGGAGATAATACTGGTTTCAATAACAAAAGAGACAAGGTAATCAATATCAGAAGGAATTGAGCAAACAGCAGAACTGCAATGGTTTACCATAGGCCACTAGTAGATTGGGGTCTGCATATACATCAACCAAGACCTGGCAAACAAAAGAGAACCTCATTAAATCTCTATGAACTAGCCGTCTGTCAACCCCCCTCCTCAGTGGCAGATCATGCTATAGCTATTACATGAGAAAAATTGCCTATACTGCCATGACCTAATACTACTTGAAAGCATGTTCTTCCTTCTCACTATAGTATATAAAGTTCTTATTTACTAGACTTTTTAAGAAACAAACTGAATAATATTAACCTTTTTTTAGATACTGTAACATTTAAATAAGGTTCTTTATTTTTCTTTTCTCATTTTGAAAAAAAAAAATCATCTTACAACTTTATTTTTTGAAATTAAATCCTCCTGCTATTAAACCAATACATCATGTAAATATTGTTGGAATCAATACATCCTCAAATGCTGCAATGACCTCAGTAATGGCACTCTGTGCTCACACACCCTAAGGAAATGAACGTTTCATAGGGACAATTGTAGCAAAGGCTCACAGGTTACTTGATTAAATAGTCAAAACAGAAAAGCACTAAAGGTCATGTGTATAACATCTAAAACTTAGATGATAATGGACTAGGTTATAGGAAAAGGGAAGTTAGCAGAGTTTAGAGTTTGATCATATCTGTTCCTTGCAAGTATAATTTAAAGCAAGCACAACTAAGACCTGCCTGGATTTTGCTGATCCAATGCTAAGGGTTACAGTAATGATGTTTATACTATGTTTTATTGGTTTCTGCATCATATAAATATGGTCATAGCAAAACAAAAGGTAGTCCATTGCAAAATATAAGAGGCTTAATGGGAGGAGCAGCAGATCATGGGTCGTCCATGAGGTTCATTGCATTAAATGCAATTAATTATATCTGAGAATTATAGGAAAAATTATACCAACCCACTCCAGATGAACTAAAAAAGTAGTATTAATCAAACCTGATAAAATGGCTGATTAGAACCACGAGACAATTTTTCAACCTGTGCAGCTTCCATCCATGAACTTGATTCGCAGCACACTGGATCCATCCCACAAACTACAGCTCCATAACCTGAATGAGATAAACAAGCAGGCGAAAGACAATTAAAAAGAGGACAAAAACCTTGCATTAATGCCAGTCATAGCAAATCCAGATAGATGTAAAGGCTTTACGGTGTTGTCCTCCCTCCCTACCCCCCATCTTCTCTCTGTCCTCACAAC